CACACACACACACACACACACACACACACACACACACACACACACACACACACACACACACACACACACAGCTGCTCTCTGTTATGGCCCGTATCTAAATGAGGTGTAATTATGGTCCAGGCTGACATGCTGGAGTTAGAGCGGTGTCCCAGCTGCAGCCAACACAGCTTACTGCTCCCCTGAACAGTGCGTGGATTCCCTTGGATCATGTCTTCATTAATGCCTCGCAGAAACCCAAAATGTACAGGGATCTGAGAAAAGTGTTTCTTTTTGCTGAACATAAGCCCACAAAGAAAATCCAACTGAAAGAGCGGAGCAGCTGCTCCCTTGCAGATGCATGAGCTAGCTGTTGATGATTTAATACAAAGCTCAACTGTAAAAACTCAATTGTCCAAGTATGTTCTGCTGGCCAGGAACCAGGTGCTGAGGATGGAAAGAAGAGAGGAAGCTGCACATTTACAAAGAGGGATTGTGTCATTATTAGTATCTGACAGATCGAATCATCGGTCATGTAGTTTTGTGAATGTGTAACTTCTTTTTGTTTTACTGAGAAAGTTAGTAAACTTTAAACAGTTCACTCTTTTACAGCTGAATAAATTAGCTTCATGAGTTCTGTGTTTTGGATTTAAAGCTTGTATTTAGCTACCTGGCCTGAAAAGTGAGGTGGTGGGTGACGTCAGCCTCAGTGTTTAAGAGGGGCTCCTGGTGACCCTGTCCATGTATGAGCTGGCTCTCCCTCAGTCCTAGACTCCTCTTCTCTACGTTGACGATTAACGAGTCTGGTAAGTGGCTCCGCATGACGAACAGTGGACTGAAAACCACCTGAAACACAAACAGTTTCACTGTGTCAATACATACCAAAATAAAAGTTAACTGTGTGTGCTCCTGAATGCCACTCACCACTCGTTGCTGCATGTGAGATTCAGGTTCAATAAGGATGAGAGAGCACCACACGTAAAGTAAAGAGCCGCTGGAACAGGCCACCTGAAAGACAGCAAACTGCTTACAGCCTTCATTACATTACAATCTATTAAAATAAAAGAATAAAAATCATTGTTTCTTGGACTCTTTCAGCAGTAAAACTCTGAGCCTCCCTGATGCAACATTATGGCCGGGCCGACTGAGAACCATTAGTGCCAAGATATCGGGGCATTACAGGCAGTAAAATCATAGCAAGATTTAAAAGCTGAGAAATGTGCCCACCAAAGGCTGAGCACTGTTAATATGTCACTGGTGTTTGTCCCATTTAGCCCTCACTCCTCRTTAAAGGCCCGAGATGCCAAAACACATAACAAGTGGTGTGGTTTATGACAGACAGGGGACTTCATTTACTCTGAGGGAGCGCCGCTACAAGCGAGTTAGCATTCGGGCCTTAGCAGAACAGCAGAGAATGAAGGGAAGTACATTTGGCAAACCTTTTCTGTATTGGCCTGAGCTGGTAAAAATAAAATCTTTCACATAAAGTCATGACRACCTCCTGTGTTTTGTCAGAAGGACAGATCAAGGGCAGACAGACAGGAGTTTATGGGAGTGAAGGTGAGATAAGAAGAGGGGTTGCTTCAGATGGATTACTGATACAGAAGAGCAGCAGACGGATCAGAAAAAAAACTAACAAAGAGGCGGGCAGAGGGAAGGACAGGTGGAGAAGCTTGGCGCCACAGAAAGGAAAAGTTGACTATTAAAAGATGGATCAGAGTGTGGGCGAGTTAGTAAAAGAAAGGGAGGAAAGAAGAAAGTGAAATGACAGGAAGCAAGACTGAGATCCAAAAAAGCAGCTTTCTCATTCAGAGCCAACTCTCCACATGTGCAATGAGAGGCTWATCCTAACAAGAGATAAACTCACATTTAGAAGCCGGAGAGGAAGCTTTTAATATCATGATGACCGATATAGAAATGGGAAAGAAAAGTACAAAGAAAACCCAAACAAGAAAACGTATCGAGCAGGAAGAGGGCAGGAGTTGGCCTGTACCTGTGCCCACAGACCAGCCAGTGTTTCATGTCGATGGTTAGGATTGTTTTGAGAAAAAGTAAACTGTATTTTCTCCCTTTCAACATGGTCAGGTTATGGGTTGGAGGGTCTTTGTAAGCCTATCTGAGGGGAAGATCTCAATCTGTTTTCTAACAGCGAGTAGCAGAATGGAAGCTCAGCAACTGTGGCCACCCAGAAGAGGAGGATCCGGTCACAGTTGGTGGTCCAGTCACCAGCTCCAAACATGTGTAGGGATAGAGAGCTAGAGTTTGGTGTGAGCAATGTTTGCATCTATTTCTGTCTGGCTACCACATTTATCAGCTTGGAATGGGACAGTTTTGTGTACAGTGGATCCACTACAGTCTACACACAAGCGCTTTTTCATCCCTCAGTATATACAGATTTTTTYCCTCCACATCTCATATCTTTTCAAAAACTGAAATTCAGTAAAAGAAAAGCTGGTAACTCACTGTGACTTCTTGGTGAATAGCATTTATGTGAGCAGACTGTCTTACAAGGTTTGAGATGGATCTCAGTTTTCTTGCATGAGTAACCTGTCATTGACTTTTACTTTATTTATAGTAAATTCATTCTCTGATTCTCAAAATTCTCAAAGCAGGGTGAAGACAGAAGTTGGTGCTTCATCTTTACCAACTAAAAGTTTTACACCAGTCCTAGGATTCGAACCTCACAGGCTTGTCTTGTCTAACCTCTGTGTCACCACTCCCCTTTAATATGTTGGACTATGTTTAAAAAGTTTGTGTCAAATATATCTAAAATAGCCACAGAGTTGTCGTGGAAGTTTCTGCGCCTCCAACCCGTTTGAAGATCACAAGAGCTGTGTTTGGATACATGCACAGGAGCTCTCTGACAAAAAACATGTCCAGATGTAAAAACAACACAGGTGGTGAATTATTATTATTAAAAAGCTCATCTAAATCTGCCCATCTTCATTTCAAAAGTGCCGTCCTGCAGTTTAAATCATAACTGTGGGGTATTTGCCATGATGTGTAGAGTAGGAGAAGATGAGGACAACAAATTATTGTGCTCAGACAAGAATGCAGTTTTCAAGCTGTGCACACAAACATAGGTCAGGGTTGGGCAATAATTCAATAATATTTATCACGGTAAACATGAGCAAGAATAATAGAAAACATGTCTAATAAAATGCTGATGATTTTACTGAACTCTGAACCGCACAGCATTCTGGGGGATTTAGGCAGAAGAAAGGCTTTAGCTGCTCGTCCTCTCACACTCCAGCTAATCAAGGTTGGTGGCATCAATTAACTCACTCTTTGGTAAACTAGCAACAACCTGTTGAGCAACATGTGCAGTAACAGTTTCATGTTTTAAAAGCATGCCTCAGAACTGCTTCAAAATACAAAGAATGACGTTGAGTGACAGGACAAAATGATGCAACAGCTCGAGAGGAAATTGTGCACTGCAAAAATGTCCACCTAACCAAGTTTAAATACTTGATTTGACTCAATTTTTTCTTATTTCAAATAAAAAAGTTCTTACTCCATCGGCAGAAATTTTTGACTTAATTTGAGTCAAATTTTCAGGTTAACAAGACAAATAATCTTACACATTCTGAAAACAAGATTATTCTTCTCACTCAATCAGTTCTTGTTTAGTAAATCAGTCTCAAAACAAGGTCAAAATGACTTTTTGGCTGGATATAAGATTTTAAAACTTGGTAAGATGGACTGTTTTTGCAGCGTGAGTAAAGAGGTCATGTCACCAGATAAAAATATCAACAATTAATCAATGAGGATTTGAAATGCTCATGTGCTGATAATTTTTAAGCCACATTGCCCAGGCCTAAAACAGGTCATGATTTTGAAAAATTTTTAAAAAGCTGAATGTTTGCTGATTGTTTGATGCATGACTGCACTGAAAAAATCTGCCCATCTTTAGCAATATTGAATTTTCATCAGCTGAATCATGAAGTGATACTGCCCTAATGAGTCATATCAAATGTGTTGGTTAATTTTGTTTTTTAAGGCAAAGCTCATAAAATCTTTGTGATGTTCCACCTGCACAACAGAGCTGTTGCTGCTCTGGTTTCTCCTCTCCAGCTGAACATCCTGGGACCAGTCTTCATCTCCTTGTGCCCTCACACACAACTCGGTCATTTCTGCGTCTTCCAGCACGTAGGAGGGCAGCTTGGCTCCGGCCTCCAGGCAGTCACAGTGCTCTCTGACCACCGTCTGACCGTCGGGCCCCACGTAGTGCTGTACAACTCGCAGCTCTATGTCCTGAGTCAGATAGCTGCACATCACCTGCCGGCCACAGATTATTATCTGCAGGAGAAAAGCATATGGGAGAGTTGTTGACGTTAAAACGTGAGATAAAACCAGAGTGTACACAACATAATAAAAAACCCTACAATCAGCATGTTAACATAAACACAAACGTTAGCCGGTCAAACCTGAATCAGCAGGCAGTTTTTAAATGGGACTGACATATAACTGTGCTAAGAAGTCATTGTTTCAATTACCATCTGTGAGTGTGAGTGTGTTTATGTCATGCATGTGTGGGTGTATTCATGTTTGTAGTCTTGGAGAGAGAGGATCTTGTTTCCAAAAAAGGAAATGCTGCTTTCAATCCTTTCTTCATCCTATTTATGGGCAGTAATTTAAATGTTTGTCTCAGCTGAAACTTACACACACACCCTATAAGACTGATCTAAGCAGTAGGCAACATAGGAGACAAAAATGAAAATTGTTATAGAATACCAAGCTATAAAACAGAGAGAAGGGACAGTGGCATGCTCCACAAACGTGACTCCATCAAAAAGAAAACACAAGCTGAGGTAAACTCATCCAGGCGGGTGTTGAACTCTTCTGTCATAGCAACTGCTGCACCACTATGAGACTTCATGTTGTGAACTGGGTGTAACCAATGCAAACCAATGGAAACAAGATTTGATCAAAGTTCAGGACAGATGGAAAGAGGCAGAGTGTGTTTTGTCTGGAGGATGAGAGGGAGACGTGTGCGACACTTGACACTGTTTATATAACAAACTGTCATTGCTATCAACTGATGGCATCTTCGCATTTTCAGGAATACRACGACTTTTTCTTGTTCTWGTGGAAAAACTCAAACATGATTCATCGYTGTTCTTGCAACAGTGAAGCATATGGTTTATGATCTGTTTTATGATTTCCTGTGATCTTCTTTGYGGATTGATGGGACACATTTTACTACTACAAAACAGATGAGAAAAAAACTGACAAACAAAAAACAGCCTGCTAGCCAAGTAACTACTAAATCACAGGACATAAACAGCGAGGGTGAGTTTAAGAACTGCTTATCCTGACATGACTAGGGTTTGTGCATTATGTTGTAAACATGTTCTTAATTTTTACTGTAGCTTTTCTTTTATGGCTCAGCTCCATGGTGACATGCATGTTATAGCTTGCCATTGAAGCAAACAAGTGGATTTGTCTTTGTTTTTGTATTAAAGAATACCTCCCAAACTGGATAACTTTTAATTAAACTGAAAACTATCATTTTGTATTCAACTACAACTCATTAACTTTTGGAGTTAATTCATTTAAAGATGGATGCCATAATAATTCAATTTGGCAAATGTTTCTAATTTAGTCTATTTACAGAAATTGAGCTGAGGTTTGATGTGATATTTGCTGAGAGTAATCACCTCGACACATTGACATAGCGTGAGGTCACGAGAATTTGACTAAAACTGTTACCCCCCCAACGTAAGAAGCAGTGGTGGGCACATCTAACCAAAACATTAGCCTCACTAAAATCTAAACTGCTGCACACACTTCTTAGCTCTGCTAACAATAAATAGGGAAATGAAAATAAAATGGACAGAAGCTAAAGTGCTAATATTTAACATATAAACATCGAGTAGGAAAAACCGTGTGCAATGGCACTCTAGTAACACGCCCCCCAGTGATCAGTTTCCCCCCTCTATCCCTGTACCTATTTCAGTTTTACAGTCAATAACTCAACTTCGACACAAACCAAACCCAACTGTGTAATGTGACAAACGTAAGTCAGCACAAATCAAAATGCTTCATAGGTCCCAGATAAAAGATTTAGAGGTGAAATTTGAGAAAAGTTAGTTTCAGTAAAGCCAGGAGGCAGAGCTACAACCCACCTGCTGACTTGAAGCAGGAAGTTTGGAGCGGAGCAGTAAATAGGGCAGTGACAGATTACAGCTTTCTTGTTTCTGCTAATTTAGTTTTTATATTTAAACAATAAAAAAATATTTGTATGCCCCAGATTAAAGTTAAAATGTATGTAGTCTCACTTTTTATTTAAAATTTTGAAACATCCATCCATTATCTATAGCTGCTTATTCCTTTCAGGGTCATGGGGGTCACTGGTGCCCATATCCAGCAGTCACAGTACGAGGGGCGGGGTACACCCTGGACAGGTCGCAAGTCCATCACAGGGACACRGAGACAAACAAGACAGACAACCTATGGACAATTTAGAGTTATCAATTAACTTAAGAGTCATGTTTTTGGTGTGTGGGAAGAAGCAAGAGTGCCCAGAGGGAACATGCAAACTCTACCCAGAAAGTTTCCCGGACCGGGATTTGAACCGGCGACCTTCTTGCTGATAGGCATCAGCTCTACCAACTGAGCCACCATGGCACACCCACGGTGCAACAAAACAGAAAATTATCTCTGACTGAATCATGTCTCAGCTGCAAAGGATGCTGGGAAAACATTTAAAAAACATTTTTCCCTGACATTTTACAATAGTTTTGAGTTTTGGTTTTTTCTTGAAAAATTCTTGTATACTTTTTATTTAAAATGTATATTAAAGTCTCTTTATTGTTTGTACATTGAAACCATGAGTCAGAGGTTCTGGTCTGAATATAAGAGGAGGCTAAATGTGATCATATCTACAGCTAGAGAATTATGTCACTGAAGGACTCCAGGCTTACAGCACAACTGTATTGAATATGCTGCTGGTGCTTGTGAACGTCAATAATGTTGAGTATACAAATAATKTGGTGATGTATTTAATAGGATTTCWAACAGCAAAGAAAATATCTGATATYATTTTAGTGCAAGTTAAATCCATTACTGATTTATTCTGGCATGAAAGGTGGCAGCAATATGGATTCATTCAAACTTTACCAATGAGTTAAGARAAAAACCTCATGTACCTGCTTCTGGACCCCGTTAAGTTGAACCACCTTGATGATGAGTGARGCGGTGCGTCCTTTGTACTGAATGGTCCTCAGCAGGGTCCCTATGTTGTCGACGCTGAACGGCTCCGACCAGCGCCAGTTCCCCCATCCCTCGATGCAGATGTGCAGCAGCTACAGGACACACACACACACACACACACACACACACACACACACACACACA